ATGACTGCCGTGCCATATCACAGTTGCACAACAACATAAAAAGGAGCAACGCACGTGGGAGAGTAGCAGCCGACTTGTCTTTTCCGCTGCGCCAGATCCATACATGGAATATACATACATATAGTGTAGTGTAGACCACCTTGGTTGACCTTGATTGCCATTTGAACCCGTCATCGTCCAGACTTGGCTCCAAGAGATCTGTAATATGTTTGCCTGAGTAAAGGAAGATCTCGGAAGGCTGCGGCCACGGCAAGGTTCTTCTCCGCCATCGATCATCTCAAAGCAAATGTAGGTATGTACGTCAATTGGTGGCCTGTAATCAAGGCCTGATCTTGGCCCCTCTAATGATGATATAACCGTCGATTTGACGATCGCAGCAGAGAATAAGAAATGGCCTGAACCGCTCCGTCAATTGGGTTTGACGTGTGGTATGCAACATACGATCCCGGGATTACGACTTTGTTGCTTATTGCCGTCTGTAACCAATTGAACATCCTGCCTGCATAGCAAGGGATACTCGAGTCCAATCAATGGCTTTGTGAGATCCTTGTTTCGTTCCGGGGAATCGGTGTTTGGATCGAGTGGATCGAGGCCCTCAGTTTTTACTTGTGCTCTCACCGTTTCTTCAAAGCTCCTCTTCGGCCCTCGCTCTGACGACTTTTCGGACTCCCCGCTCAACCTTCTCCAGTCTTCCTTCTGCGTCCGCTATTGATCGTCCGTACTGTAACACCCCTCCCTCGTACCATGCCTTGACTACTCGCTCACTGCGTGCCCTGAGCTCTGCTATTTCTGCCTCTTGCGCCAGTTGTGTTGCCTCTATTCCCTTCATTTTTGGTACTAGAGAGGCAAGCTCTGCGCTGAGTTTTGCATCCGGTACTGGGGTATCTCCTGTCACGGCGGAAAGAGCAGAGACTGTCGAGGGGAACTGTGAGGCATAGGATAGGACGGTCGCGCGGACTGCTTCTGGGGAGAGAGAAGTTGCCGGAGTGTTGGAATAAGGTGTGGCGGGATCTGATGGCTGTGCGTGGAAGAAATCTGGATGGGCATGGTCTTTACAAATTACAAAGAGATTGGTTAGCTCCAGGACTCCACCTGCTTATGACGGGAAACATACAGATCTTGAGAATTTCGGCGTAGACGCGAAAGTGTCGGATCAAGATATTAAATCGATGTTCTAATTCTGCTAGAGAGGTGATTGCGGAATCTGCAGGGGGCTGAGATGGGGGTGCCGTGGGTCCGTAGAGGATGTGTTCGATGCGGAGGAGACGAGCCTCCAGTAGCTCAATTGTCGCGAGGGACGTCTTGTCCAATGTCTCCTCCATGACGTCGTTTTTTATGTGTTGACTCGAGCTCCGCAGTTGCGATTCGGCGTCTTTTAGAGATGCAACAAGGTTGAGAAAAGGTGGTAGAGTTAATGATTTGGTGGACGCCGTTTCGTGATCAGGGGGAATCTAGTGTAAACAATTGGTCCGAGTGAAAAATGAAATTACCCATAAAACAAAAAGGTCGAGACCTCAATGTTCAACGGCGTGGCAGATGATGATCGGTGACCCCTCGTTATCGTTAGGTAAGGCTGAATGATTCGCTGGAATCCAGGGGGTCTGCTGGAGCTCGCGTGACGTGGAGGGCTCCGCTTAGCTCAAAAGTGGCGATTTGATTGGCTGCGCTGAAACCTACCATGTGCTGGGCCTGCTAATCGACTCCCCATTGCCGAGTTTGGAACGTTTGGCTTTCAAACTTCCAACACATCAATCATCCTCTTTTACCAGTTTAAATACCGCTGCACAATTCTTGAGCGCCACCTGTACCCCAATTTCTCAATAACAAACCTCTAGTCTTACAAGCCGACACCTAAAAACCTACCGATTGGTTACGCTCGTAAAGCTTACGTCTTCAGGATCATCTTCGCATCTTCGCATAATGGCTGCCTGGTTTCGAAGACCCTAAAACCTACCTCCATGACGACGACGAACGAGACGACGCCCGTGAACCAAACAAAAATAAAGAATTGAAAGAAGAAGGGACTGGCTGAGTGCAAGTCGCAGTGCAATGACTGCATATTCGACCCTTGGTCCAAATTCGCCCGCCAATATGGTGTAAGCAATCATCAGGAGGGAGGAAAAGACAGTTTGGGCATTGTACTGACAAGGAATGCTTCAGGAACCGTCGAAAAATGGGCGGCGGAAACGCCTCTATGATGAGCAGCAACATCAACCTGCTCAACACAATTGTCGGCGCAGGAACGCTTGCCATGCCCGCAGCCATGTCGCATTTTGGTGTCGTTCTCGGAGCTGCGCTGATAATATGGTGTGGCTTGACGTCGGCGTTTGGACTTTACCTGCAATCACGTTGCGCCCGATACCTCGACCGGGGGACGTCATCCTTCTTTGCGCTCTCCCAAATTACGTACCCGAATGCCGCCGTGGTATTCGATGCCGCCATTGCCATTAAGTGTTTTGGCGTTGGCGTATCATATATGATTATTATTGGCGACCTCATGCCTGGTGTCGCAGAGGCATTTGGAAGTGCCGACACGGGGCTGACATTTCTCGCGGATCGCAAGTTTTGGATAACGGTGTTCTTCCTGGTGTTTATCATCCCGTTGAGCTTTCCTAAAAAGTTGGATTCGCTCAAGTACACCAGTATCATTGCTCTGCTCTCTATTGGCTATCTTGTAATCCTGGTTGTCTACCACTTTGCTGCCGACGAAGTACCAAATAACCGAGACATTCGCATTATCACATGGGAAGGGCCAATAGCTGCGCTGAAAAGCTTGCCAGTTATTATCTTTGCCTACACATGCCACCAAAACGTAAGAGTAGTCTCCTCGGCTAGTTATTGGATTCTTGCTAACAGACCCAGATGTTCTCCATCTTGAACGAGATTAAGGATTACACGCCACTTAGTATCGTGAGCGTCATTGGCGGCAGTATCGGCACTGCCGCATCAATCTATGTCCTTGTGGCCATCACAGGCTACCTCACGTTCGGCAATGAGGTCAAGGGCAACATCGTAGGAATGTATCCTTCATCTATCGCCTCCAACATCGCTAAAGCGGCCATTGTTATTCTCGTAACCTTCAGTATCCCTCTTCAAATTCACCCTTGCCGCGCCTCAATGGATGCCGTTCTGCGCTGGCGTCCCGGTAAGGGTTCTCGTCAGCAAGGAGCCGGTCCCTCACCTGGCAGCCAGCCACTCCTCCCTTCAGCCGCTGGTCCAAGCAATGGAAGTGGCCTCGACAGCCACGGAGCGCCCGTGGTAGCCATGTCTGAGCTTCGCTTTGCACTCATCACTAGCGGAATTCTGGTGCTCAGCTATTTTACTGCCCTTAACGTGTCAACCCTCGATACGGTTCTGGCGTATGTTGGCAGCACGGGCTCGACAGCTATTTCCTTCATCCTGCCCGGACTATTTTACTACAAGATTAGTGATCCGGATAGTATTCACCACCAGCGGTTGACTAAGGAGGACGATGATGCCGAGTACTCGGCGGATGATGACGATGACGAAACTGGCGAGGCAGGGCCATCTGGTATGCTGGACAGCGTAGCCAGTTTAAGATCCAACGGAAGCGCTGCTGGAGGTAGAGGGAGACTTGCGAGGTGGCGAAGGAAGTGGAGATGGGATTTGGAGCATCTGGAGACTGGATTGCTCAGAAAGATGGCGATGGGATTGTCGATTTATGGTGTTTGCGTCATGGTTGTTTGCTTGACGATGAATACTTTTTTCGGTGCCAAGCATTAAGTCTAGAGGAAGTTGAGCAAGGTCCTGCCTAGAGTTTGTGGCATCCAGAGGTTTGGTTTAGTTTGTGGGTGGACAACTAGGGGGGACAATTTTTACAATACTTTTTGAGCTACGAGGTTGTCTTAGTAATTAATACATTTATGGGTTGATGTTATAGCAGAAGCGATGGAGTAACAGAGTTGTAAGGAAGAAAGGGAGTTGGTTTTGCTTTGGCATATAGTTTTGGAAGGGTTTTACATCGGCGTCTTGGGTGAGACTAAAATTTTGGAAGCGGAATGGGCAGGTATACTGGATGATACAGTTGGTAAAGGGCAAGATACATTTGTTACAGAGGTTTTTATTCTACTTGTTTTGGCAATCTTAGCGGGGTAAAATAAATAAGGGAAGTTTATCTATTTATTTAGAACTAGAACAAGAAAAAAACTAAGGGATTTACTTTTTTGTTTTCCTCCCACGTCAACTTTTACCTGGTGATTTCTTTGCCCGTTATGAAGATGTGACGGTTGCTATACATAGTCTCACAACAAACTTTTGAAAGGATAAGGATGTGGAGAGAAAATAGACAATGTTTATGTTAGTGGTGATGAAGTTTTTGGGTTTACTGTCCTTATGAATGAATAGGAATCTGTCGGCTATTTTGGCTTAACATGCATGTATTTTGTCTACATATCGTCTTTTTCCCCTCTTATTCTCCGAACTCTTCCAAATTGACAACAAATATCTGGACATCTTGTTCTCTCTTTTTCCCTTTCTCTCTTACGAAACCAAAGAAGACACGAAATCCATTTTCGGGAGGCGGCCTAATATTTGGAAAAAGAGGCAGATTTCTTTTTGGTACACGGGAAAATGGTAGAACGAGAAAAAGTCCATTTTCATATTTTTTTTTTTTTTTTTTTTTTGGTTTTTTTGGGTTTCCCGTCACGGTAGTTTGATGTGAAAAGCAATAAAGAACGAAGCAATAAAGGACGAAACAAAAACAAAAATTTATGGAGGAAAGAAGTAAGTACCTAGCTAGCTAGGTAAACTTGGAAAAAAGGAAAGTTGTGACGGCTGGTCACCGTAGAAACCATATATATATTGCAATTGAATTGCGAAGTGTTGACTTTACAATTCGACGTTCCTTTTGGAAAGTTGGTCAATTGGTCATTGCAGTGCCAGTCGTCCCGACCGTCACAAAAGTTGAAGGGGAAAAAAAAAAAAAGATACCTAACTCAAAAAAGAAAGCAACGTGTGTTAAAATAACAGAAAAAAAAAGACGATCCGCCCAGGGGTCGAACCTGGAACCTCCTGATTACCGTATTAATCATGTCCGATGCACTCATAATTATCGTAGTCAGACGCGCTGCCATTACGCCAGCGGACCTGTAAGATCGGTCCTTAACAGATGTTGTTTCTGTAACCGGAAATAGGATTAATAGCTAGGTGTGTGTGGGGACACTACATATTATCCGTTCAAAGGTAGGGGTTTAAAGTTTGGGATTTTAACCGATTGCGGTAGGGACTTCTTTTATTTTCTTTTCTGGTTGTGATTTTCTTGAGTGAGAAATAATCCATGGAGGGTATGAGAGTGCTTGCAATGTCTTCTTTTTTTTTTTTTTTCTTCTTTTTTTTTGTGAAGTGGGATTGAATGGCATGTGACGTGAGAATGGGAAGGTGCGGATAACATCTTAGAAAATGCCCAAGAAGTTGATTTTGCAAAAGAAGTTTCGGGACTCCTCAGATTTGTTTTCTGAATTTGGACCTGGTTAAGGGTGGGCTTGTAGTTTTTCTCGCCTTGAGATTAAAACTGCCTTGAGGTTGAATGAAACCTTGCACTTCTCGATGCACAGATTGAGGGAGGGATAGAATCTACTGTCATCGTGGGAAACTTCAGTGCGTGGGAAAAGCAGTGACGAATACTTGGTCGACTTGAAGTGCATTCTCAACAGACTACTCTTGCAAACCGGTACCCCAAGCCATGAATAGACAACACGGCCACTGATTCCTGCCACTCAGACAACACTGATGCCTGACGGGCCAGAAGAACCGTTCGTTTGCTGCTCGTTTGATCCCTAATACTCCTCAGTCAAGACTCCTTTTTTATTCTCGCTGACATATCGCACATTTTGCACAACCTTCAGCCTCCCGCCCCAACATCTCCTTCTATTCCGCAAAGTTCAAAACCGAAAACGTCGCCTTGGAGAAAAAGGCAGGTATATGCCGTTCTAAAATGGTGTGGGTATGTTGTTTCTTCGTGCCTCCTTTTCCTTGTAATACATATACACTTAACTCGCCTCCCCTCGGCTTATTTTTTCACAGGTTGCTTCTTGGCCACTGGCTTCTTTCCCTGGGGCTTCTTTGCCGCTCGCTTTATTCCCACTGCTCGGAGTATCGCTGGCTTCTTTCCTAGGTACGGCTTTGCCGATCCCTTCTTACCCGGTTGTTGCTTCTTTGCTGGATGCTTCTTTGCCGCTTGCTTCTTCACCGGCTCCTTCTTTACCAATTGCTGCTGTCCAGGTAACGGCTTCGGCCACTTTGGCTGGAGGATACCAACCATGCTCAATAACCTCCACATTGTATCTGTTGGTTGCGCCCCCACACCGACCCAGTATTGCGCTCTCGTTATATCCAGTTTGATATCCTTGTGTAGCTTTTTCTCGTCGCCGTAGAGGTCTGGCTTGGGGACTGGGTCATATGTGCCGATTACTTCGAGAGGGCGGGAGTTACGAGCTGTTCTGCAGGTGGAAAAACACCAAACGTTAGTTGTCGATATTCAACGAGGCGAGACACGGACGGAAGATGCAAAATTACCGTGCATGGGCGACGACAATGTTGTAAAATGGCCTGTTCGTCTTGCCGAAGCGGGCAAGGCGAATCTTGACGACCATCTTTTTTTTCCTTTTTGGGAGAGTCTTTGTCGGGGAGGTGTTGGTCGTTCAGCCGGGGGTGCGGAGAAAGGTGGTAGGGTGAGGTTGGCGCAGAGCGGGCGCAGAGGCCTTGGTCTGTCGATCACGATTCCCGATTTCTTTTTGAGGTTTTTGGGATGCGCTTGCAAACCAAAGTTCCTTTGCGGTTCTTGCTTGAATCGAACCAATCCGATCGCGCATTGTGGGTCTTGGTTGCAGGTCATTTTCAATTGGCCAATCAGTCGTTGTTGGTGGACCAAAAAAAATGGGGATCGGGGGTGCTTGAGCGCACCTGGAAGAGAAAGAGGCAGAAGGTTCCTGGGTTTAAGGTGATCTCAGTCCCATCGTGCTATTTTTTCCCCTTCACCCTCCGCGGGTTTTTTTGTTAGCTGTAAAAGGGTGTCATGACCCCTCGTTGTGTTCCGTTCTTCAAAACTTGTGATTTACACTTCCAGTAAAAAAAATTGAAAATTTCCAGAGCTTTGTCATTTGCAACACCCTTCCCAAAGTACTTCATTGACAGCTCCACAAATTCAAGATTCAAGCTTTAGGATGGCCCTCAAGGTACAGTACCTAGGCCTTTTTTTCTTTTTTCTTTTCTTCTTTTTTTTTCTTGGTCTGCATCTAATGTGACGTTTTGTGCTAATGTCAAGATATAGACCCTCGGTGCAAAGGCAGCAGCCGCCCTTGACAAGGAGTTGATGAGCACCGGTGCCTTCTCAATTGACCAACTCATGGAGCTCGCTGGCCTCTCCGTCTCTCAAGCTGGCATGTTGAGCCTCACTATTGTCACTTTGTTCGGCCTTGATGCTGACAGTCAAACAGTGTTCCGTGTACACCCCATCAATAAAGGCCGCAGGATCCTGGTGGCTGTCGGCCCAGGCAACAACGGTCCGTAAACGGTGTTGACGTTGTTCGTTTCCAAAGGCGGTGGCCTGTGCGCTTACCATTTGTCAATTCAGGGGGCGACGGTTTGGTCGCTGCTCGCCATCTTCGCCATTACGGTTACCAACCGTCCGTTTATTATCCCAAACGTCCCAAAAATGAGTTGTACCAGGTGAGACATCTGCTTTCCCTTGTCGCGACTCAAATCGCTTCCATCAAGTGTTGGCATCTGTCTGCGGTCACCCCTGAAGCCAGGATGGGCGGAAAAGCAAGAAAATATCTTATCAGCATTCACGTCCAAACAGAAATGTCTGGCTGTATACTCTAAGCATATTCCTTCCCACTCTTGAAAATCACCTCTCCCCGCTGTAAGATGCACACCGGCGTCCGTGTATTACGCCATGTTGAGTTAAGAGAACAATCGCTTCCCAGTCCAGCTGGTTGGCCCCGATGCCACCTATTGCTTACTCGTGTTCGCAGCGTTTAACCAAACAATTGGAAGATCTCGACATCCCGTTCGTTGACGACTTCCCCAGCGCTCTCAAGTCCGCCGACCACGTTGTCGATGCCATCTTTGGTGTGTATCCTTGCACGGTTTCTTGATCGTCGACAACTCGTAGTAACTGACACCTTTCGTTTGCCAGGTTTCAGTTTCTCTGGGGAGGTTCGGGAACCTTTTCCTGCTGTCATTAATGCTTTGGCAGAAACCAAGGTTCCCGTGACAGCCGTCGATGCTCCATCGTCATGGAACATCGAAGCTGGACCTCCCAGCGAGGGAGTTGGGAGCAACTTTCACCCTGACGTCTTGGTCAGCTTGACGGCACCGAAACCATTGGTCAAGCACTTCAAGGGGCGTCACTTCATTGGCGGCAGGTACGTACCAAGTTCTTTTTTTTCTTCAAGTTTTCCATCCCGTTTTGGGGGTTTCTGACCAATCAACCCCCATTCAGGTTCGTGACTCCGGTAATCGCGAACAAGTATGGCTTTGATGTTCCCGAGTACGATGGGCTCGATCAAATTGTCGAGGTCGGGCCCAACGGCCACAAGTTGTGAGTGTTGTGAGTGTTTAAAAGGTCTCGGGTAGTCGCGTTTGTTGTCTCGTGTATTTTTTGTTGCCATTGTCCCCATGTCGATTTTTGCTACATCATGCTACACCCCCCGTTTCGACTGTTTGGACAGACTGGACTTGGACACCCGCCCTCGAGCATGTCAACCTTGTTTATTGAGGTGCCGTTGGGACAGTACAGCAACGGTGGATGGAAGTGCTTGCAGAACTTGACGAATATTAAATACTCTTTGCCACAAGCTGGGCAGTCATAGGTGCGATGCTCAACACACATTAACGGCAGCGGTTCAGGAGTGTTTGTAGAGCTGGCTGGCGAAAAGGGGGCTCGGTAGACGGCTTTGTCGTCGAGCAGCATGGGCTGCTGGCGACTGCTCTCAGTTGGACGAGGGTTTATTGCGAATATTCTCTCCCTTCTTGTTCTTTGTTGTGTGGTGTGGTGTGGCTTATGATATAGAGAGGAAAGAGACCCCGGTTGTTGGATTGAGGCGAAAGGAAGTGTGGCTGTCCGGGCTTTTGGTCTGTGTTCGTCGGAAAACCCTGGGCGCCGATAACTTCCCTCTGTGTGTATACTGTTTTTGGTTCTCCAGGTGTGGGTGTGCACTTTTTTTTTTACTGCGGTTAGGGGAGCAAGGGGCCGGGGAAGTTGCTGCCTCCTGGGGGGCTCAACTGTGACATGGGCTCTGAGCCAGCGGAAATACAGCGAGAACAGGGACACTGGGACTTTGTCGGCAGGTTGCTGTCCAACCACTCAAGACACTGGAAGGGTGATGTGGCAAAGGGAATAAGGCATAGCCGTGATACCCTAGAGAGTTGATCTGAAAGAGGAAAGAAGGCTCTTGTCCGGGACAATCCGAGCCATGAGGAACCCGGATGGGGCACTTTTTTTTTCTGCTGCAAAGCGGTATATACTCGGTACATTTGCAATTCCCAGGCCTCTCTTTTTTTTTCTGCTTTCTGAGTCTTCTGGCACCACAGAGCCGAAATGTGGTACCTTCAAGCATGTTCTCCGGAGCAAATGCTCCGTTGGGCTTATGATTGGTTGGCGCGCCACACAGCGCTTACATCTCGAAGTGAGGGTGACCCCAGAAAAAGAGGATCCTTGAAATCCAAAACTTCGGGCCTAACTGGTATCAAGGGTCCAATTTTCCCAAATACACTATTATTTTATTGTCCCCGACATTCTGTTTTTGGGTCCCTGGTTCTCATCATGTTTCCACTGTCGCCGCTTCCCTGGAATTGGCAAAGCAGGCCGTGGCTGCTGGCGTGTTCAACCGCCTTCCCGCTGTCATGCCGTGTACCCCGACGAGGTTGGCCACACAGTCTGCCGATCACACCAGGGACATGGTGTATGCACTTATCGGTCAGGTTTGGGGATGGCCGAAATTGAGATTCCTCACATATTGATCAACAATCCGATAGTATCATGGTGTTGACCAAGTGTTGGAGCGGGGTACCAAGAGCCAAGAGGTGAGTTGGAAGAAACTTCGTCACCTCTCCCACCCAATCACTACAATAAAATAGTAGGTT